TGTTCAATTTGCATGCATTATCAAATTAATTTTATTTTTGATCAAACATTATCTAGAATTCTACCCGACTTCTGAATTCAACAACTTGCAGATTCGTGCATTCTATCATGGATGCAATATATCTAGTCGAAATAATAACTTTAATTTTAAACCCTTGAACTTTCCCTTTTATCGTTTCTAAAATTTGAAATCATATTAACTGTTTCTTAAATTTATACTTGTTGTTTCACTTTGTTTTGAAATAAATAAATAAATATTTGATGAATTCATATTAAGTTATTTCGTATGTTGTGTGATGACTTAAGATATTAAAGCTATTGAAATATTCATGCTATCATTTTGCTTTCAATATATGTGGTATGCAGAAGCTTTATGAAAAGTCTTTGAAATAAGCAAAAGTCTTTTTGACTTTTTTAAAATGCATCCATCAAACCAATATTTATGTATCATTTGTTTTTCATTTTTTTTTCTCTCAAAAAATGAAAAATGTAGTTTTAAGTGATAACAATAACAGTAAATAGAAAGAAAAGAAAAACAAATAATCAATGACCAAAAAAAAAAAAAAAACAATATTACATATAAATAAAAAAAAAGAAACCCCAAAACGACGAGTGATAATAAAAATCAATCATTGAACTTATGCATATGTTTAACTCAAATAACTGGCCATTTTGATACTAAAAGAAATAAAAACTTAATAAGACATTTTTGTTTAATATTAACTTACCGAATAAAAATTTTAGTAGCACAATATGCGACAAGAATGAATATAAATGAGCAAAGTATGATTAATACTCGATTAAGACATGGCATATTTAGTTTATTTGTTTGATCAAGAAAATTAAATCCAAGACCACCTAATGTAAGGATAAATGAAGTACCATAAGACCTTCCATTATATATTGACCATTAATACGCCATGCCATAAAAGCAACAGGTTTATGATGGCCATATTCATCAGTTATACTACGTAAAGAAAAATTTTATTTAATTTGCAATTAAATTTTTTTATTATTTTACTGATCAACATTTGATAGGTCAACAATAATATCATAAATAATATCGGCAGTTAAAAGAAAATAAGAGATGAGCAAACCAAATAAAACTCTAGTAATAAAAAAAGAGTAAATTTAATAGATTGAAATGAATTCATTTTTACGTTGTATTTGAAGATTTTCGAATTCATGATGATTTTTTTAATTTTAAATTTGAACAATTGAACAACAATAAACGAAAGTCGATAAAGCTTTCCATTACCTTACTTTTTTAATTATCAAAGGAAATAAATCTAAAAGAAATAAAAATTGTCTACGATAAAAAATAATCATTTTCGTTCCACTATTACACTAATAATTGATGATGATTTAATATTTCTAAGATAAAACAAGATGAAATTATCTTTTTCATTTTGTAAAACAGAATAGAAATCTAAAGATAATATAAAGTTTTTTTTTAGGTTTCAATCATCTGATATGGGTCAAAAAAAAAGAAACAAAGGACATCTCAGTTTCAGTTGCAACAAAAAAGAAAAGATTTCAACTGGTGCTGCTTCCACAACAGCAACAGTAACCACGTGTGCCAAAAAACACTACAAAACCAGCTAGTACTAGTATAACAACTACTACCAAAGTTATTACAAAAGAACGTAAAGAACTGGTTCAAACAAAGGCACTCAAAGCTAAACGAGCTGTTTGATAAATAAAATTCATCTTATAGACATACTTAACTCTTTATTCTTATTTAGTAGTACTCTATTAAAACATAAACGTAAAATTCGTACAAAACCAACATTTCGTCATTCATTCATTTACACTTAATATATGATGAATATAAATAATACACTTCATATTTTGTATATTAATTATTAAAAGAATTTTCTACTTGGAAAGTCATGAAAAAAAAGCGTTAGTGACGTAAGAACTTGAAGTTATTTCCTTTAATTATAATCTTAACTTGAACTTAAGTATAAGACTGTTGAACTTTCTTTTTCTTGTGATAAGATTCAATACAGATTTTATTATTGAAATTAATAGATAAAAATAAGTCGAGCTGAAAAACAAATGGATTTTGTACTGACGACCTTTAATCATAGGATAGTTGTCTTGTTTATAGAACGTTTTTTCTTTTTTTTTATTTATAATAAGAGGTAATCAAGGATGTCCAATGTCGCCGGTTTGAATTACATAAGGCGACATATTATCACATTTCCTTAGAGAACCAAATATAAAATTTTTTTTAATGTAAGATCATTTAGAAAAAAAAAAATACAACAGAAAAGCTTATCTTTTCTATCCGAAGAGATATAACATAATTAAATAATTGAATTGAAATGATGAAAAAAAAAAATTTTGTGTTGTTATATTTCTAGATGAATAATTTATCATTATCAGATGATTTAACATTAGCACAGCATGAAATTGATGATCTATGGCATAATATAAATAGTTCACCATCCGATCATGTTTTTTATTGGATATCAATTGCAAGTTTTACATTTGCTATATTAGGTTCAATAAGTAATTTAATGTTGATTATTGTTTTAAATCATTTAAGTAGTCATTTATCAGCATTTGCTTATTTAACTGATTTATCTCTATCTGATATGATAACATGTATATCAATAATAATGACACATTTATTTGATTTTATTGTTCAAACACGTCTAAGTACATCAATAACAATATTTTTTCGTTATATTGAAATAATATGTAGAGGATTAACTGCTGGTAGTCGTGTATTATCATTATGGATATCAACAGCAGTAACAATGGATCGTTGGATATTAATATGTTATCCAATATATAGTAAAAAATTTTGTACATTAAAACGAGCTAAAATTATTTTACGTACATTATTTATAATTGCATGCATTTATTCAATTCCATTATTTTTTGGATATGAATTAATTCAAATGCCAAGTGTTTTACAAATGATTCATATTGATAATCAATCATCATCATTATTAATTGATGAAGAATTTCTTCGAAATAGTATGCTTGTTACTAAAGGTTATAGTGATTTAGCTAAACGAAGACTTTATCGTTGGGCTTATATGTTTTTTAATGCTATATCTGTTTATACATTATCAACAATAACAATTGTTTTTTTTTTATATACAATTAATTCGTGCTTTACATCATGTTAAATCACGTACAAAACGTTTAAGAGCAGAAAATTCTATAAATGGAAATAATCATCATCATTCACATCATTCTCATCAAACAAAATATTCTGTAACAATTATGGTTATAATAATTGTATTAACATTACTTATAACTATTATTGATGTTGAATTTTTGTTTTTGTGTGTAATCTGAAGTAAGGACAGAAATATAGATTTAAAGAAAATAACAATAATATGTAAACAGAATAATATGTTTATAAATATGTAAAAAATTC